AAAAAGAAGAGTGAGAAGGAAGAAGAAGAGAAAAAAAAGAAGAAAAAAAAAAAAAAAAAAAGAAGAAAGAAGGAGAAAAAAAGGAAGAAAAAAAAAAGAAGGAAAAAAAGAAAAGAAGAAGAAAAGAAGAAAGGGAATAGAAGAAATAATTTAAAACTATGAAAGATATTTTGTATGTAAGCAGAGAGATATATTAAGGGATGGTGGATATTGCATGGTGAGGGAGTTGGACTGGGTGGCCTTAAGTATTTTCTGTTGGTCATGGGGGTTCTGTGTGGAAAGTTTGCCCCAATTCTGTCATTCATGGGGTTCAGAATGCTCTTTGATTGTAGGTGAACTATAAATCCCAGTGACAACTCCCAAATATCAAGGTCTATTTCCCCCAAACTCCACTAGTGTTCACAGTTGAGCATATTGAGTATTCATGCCAAGTTTAGTCCAAATCCATCATTGTTTGAGTCCACAGTGTTCTCTGGATGTAGGTGAACTACAACTCCCAAACACATGGTCAATGCCAACCAACCCCTTTCAGTATTTTCTGCCCCAGCTTCTGCCAACCTAGCAGTTCAAAAACATGCAAATGTGAGTAGATCAATAGGTACCGCTTCGGCGGGAAGGTTACGGCACTTCATGCATTCATGCTGGCCACATGACCTTGGAGATGTCTATGGAAAACACCAGCTCTTTGGCTTAGAAATGGAGATGAGCACCATAGCCCAAGAGTCAGACATGACTGGACTTCATGTCAGGGGAAAAACTTTACCTTTACCTACTCTCTATTTATAGCCCGCCCTATCTCCCCAAGAAGACTCAAAGTACTTCTTTGCACAATGGATATTTTGTGGGATTCACTGCAACGATAGCAACTGGCTTAGAGAGAGACTTGAAAAGGGAATCTGAACAGATTGGTGGGTAATAAACCCCTTCTTGACTCCTCGCCTTGATAACTTAATATGAGTTTAAGTAGCCAGAGCAGAACATGGAAATTTCCTTTTTTAAATTTTTGATTGATTGATTGATTGATTGATTGATTGATTTCAGGAGCTTCTATAATTCTCAGAATCCCTTAGGAGTTTCAGAGCATTGTAATCCCAAAACATTTCTTTTTCCAAACTAGTTCATCAACCATTCTTTCTGCGACTTCTCCGCTCAAGAATGAATTCTGCTTGTGTGTTGTACTTCCAAAAGGTCCAGTAATAACACTATAGGAAACATTAAGAGCAGTGGGTTAAACCACTGGTGCAGTGGGTTAAACCACTGAGCTGCTGACCGAAAGGTTGCAGATACAAATTCATGGAGCAGGGTGAGCTCCTGGTGTTAGCCCCAGCTTCTGCCAACCTACCCATTCAAAAACGTGCAAGTGTGAGTAGATCAATTGGTATTGCTCTAGCGGGAAGGTTACGCCGCTCCATGCAGTCATGCTGGCCACATGACCTTGGAGGTGTCAATGGACAACGCCTGCTCTTCGACTTAGAAATGGAGATGAGCACCAGAGTCGGACGCAGCTAGACTTAATGCCAGGGGAAAACTTTACCTTATAGGAAACATTACAGATATTGAATATGGTCCATCAAGGGGGGAAAGCACCAGGGTTTGCACTAAGGCTATGCTGATGGCTTGGGGTGGGCCGGGGGGGGGGGGAACGCATGCAGAAAGGAGATAAACAGAAGAGATTGCAGCCTGTCATGTGGGGTTTTGGAAAACAATTGTGGCTGAATCAGCTTATTCTGGGGACTTTCTGCCTTGTCAACCATAGAACTGGAGGGCTAAAGGTTCCCTGTGCCTGGTTTTGTCCCATCCTGAACATACCGTTCAGGTTTGCCTGGAGCAAACTCTTCTTGAAAAGTAATTAGATGTCCCTGCCTGTTTCCTCTCTGCTGTTTTTGCTCCAGGCACAGTCAGCCCATTGTATGCTAATCAAGGTGGTCAGTTGAAATATTCACACCTAGCCCAACTGACAAAAGTCCTTTGTCTCACCCTGGTCATTCCACAGATACATAAACCCCTTTCCCAGTTACCAAACAGACCTCACCTCTGAGGATGCTTGCCATAGATGCAGGCGAAACGTCAGGAGAAATGCCTCTAGAACATGGCCATATAGCCCGAAAAAAAACCCACAAGAACTTAACCAAAACATTACATTTTTATTTATATAGATTCAGGTTCCTTAGTGAGACTCTTAGACTGCAATGCAAGCAGTCTCTTTAAAGGTGCTTCCCAATGCGCTGGGAACCATGCCTTTGAGGTTCACCTTTCAGCAGAGATGCTGAAGCTGCCAAGCACTTGAAACGTGACACTAGAAGCATTTCGCAGTTTGTCACCATGCAGGGTTCTGGCAGGAAGGATCCCTCGAGGCTTAGCACCTCTAAATGGCGTCTTTGGAATTTGGTTGATGCTTGCTCTGTGGGAGAAAGCTTTGCCGCATACGTTCCCCCCACACAGGTATCAATCAGAGCCAAGGCTTTGCGTTTGCAGCAGGGGCTGGAGCTAAACTGCATTACACAGCATGGTATGGATCTGTACTGACCACTTCAAACTGCGTTATATGTCAGTGTGGATTCAGCCAGAATTAAGTAACTTTACTTGCTTAGTTAGGCAATCCTTCATAGCTCGAGGAGGATTGTCTTCCAAATGTGTCTTGGCGCTGGGTCTGTAGGTGGCTGTGGAGCCCTATTCTTGATCCGCATGTTCTCCCGCAGAGAGGACATCAGTTTCCAGATAGAAGGCGGTCCCAGTCGGGGTTGGCTTGATGCGCCTTCTTCCTCTTGGCACGTTTCTCCTTTTCGCCCTCCATTCATGCCTCTTCGAATTCTGCAGCACTGCTGGTCACAGCTGACCTCCAGTTAGAGTGCTTAAGGTCCAGAGCTTCCCAGTTCTCTCTTGGTGTCTATGCCAGAGTTTTTAAGGTTGGCTTTGAGCCCATCTTTCAATCTCTTTTCCTGTCCACCAACATTCCATTTTCCATTCTTGAGTTTGGAGTAGAGTAATGTGCTTTGGGAGAAGGTGATCTTTGCGCATTTGGACAACGTGGCCATCAGTCGAGCGGAGTTGATGGTGGAGGAGCATCGCTTCAATGCCGGTGGTGTTTGCTTCATCCAGCACGTTGACATTTCCTCGCCTGTCTTCCCAAGAGATTTGCAGGATTTTTCGGAGGCAGTGCTGATGGAATCATTCCAGGGGTTGCATGTGACTGTAGACAGTCCATGTTTTGCAGGCGTAGAGCAGGGTTGGGAGGACAATAGCTTTATCAACAAGCACCTTGGTCTTCCTACTGATGTTTCAGACCTCAAACACTCTGTGCTTCATTCAGAAAAATGCTGCACTTGCAGAACTCATTCGGAGGAATGCTGCACTCACAGACTTGATTCGGAGGAATGCTGCACTCACAGACTTCATTCGGAGGAATGCTGCACTTGCAGAGCTCAGGCGGTGTTGTATTTCAGTGTCAATGTTGACTTTTGTGGAGAGATGGCTGCCACGGGGGCGGAAATGGTCAACATTTTCTAATGTTACACCATTAAGCTGTATCTCTGGCATTGGAGAGGGATTTGGCTGGTGCCTTTTGCTGGAAGAGCACTTTGGCTTACTCGATATTCAGTGAGAGGCCGAGCTTCCTGTATGCTTCTGCGAAGGTGTTGTAGGTCTTCTTCTGAGTGCGCACAGACAACATTGTCATCAGCATATTGGAGTTCTATAACAGCTCTTCATATTAATTAAGTAACAGCTCTTCATATTAATGGTCCTTCCAGGTGGGGATTTTCACCTTTGAATTTGTTCCTCAGAAAATAAAGAGCAGATGCAAATAAAAAGTAGCACTGGGTTGCTGTGAGTTTTTCAGGCTGTCTGGCCATATTCCAGCAGCATTTTCTCCTGGTGTTTCGCCTGCATCTGTGGCTAATGGCATCTTCAGAGGTTCTGTTGGCAGTGAGGCAAGTAGTGTGTGTGTGTGAAATGAGGATAGGAGGGAGGACCGAAGTTGGCCCATGCCTGCTTTTATTTTTGTTTTATTTTTTACTTGTATGTTTTACTTATTTTATTGTGATGTTACTTTTTGCCTTTTTGTATTTATTTTGCTATAATGTATTATCAGGCTTAGCATCATGTAAGGTGTTCCAAGTCCCCTTTGGGGAGATGGTGGTGGGATATAAATAAAGATTATTATTATTGGGTTGTTGTAGGTTTTTTCGGGCTGTATGGCCATGTTCTAGAGGCATTCTCTCCTGACGTTTCGCCTGCACTTACGGCAAGCATCCTCAGAGGTAGTGAGGTCTATTGGAACTAGGAAAATGGGTTTATATATCTGTGGAATGGCCAGGGTGAGACAAAGAACTCTTGTCTGCTGGAGCTAGGTGGGAATGTTTCAACTGATCCCCTTGATTAGCATTTGATGGCGTGGCAGTGCCTGGCATTGCAGAGCACCTGATGAACCAACCTGGACACAGCATATGATTTGAGAACACAGAAATGCTGGACCACTCTCACAACCACCATGTCAGGCTACACAGAGAAGCCATTGAAATCCACAAGAAGCATGTGGACAATTTCAACAGAAAGGAGGAAACCATGAAAATGAACAAAATCTGGCTACCAGTATTAAAAATCTCTAAAATTGCAACAGGAAAACAACAGAGAGGAAACAATGTAATGCAATTTTAATTAATACCACTGTTTAATTGTTATGTAATGGATTTTATATTGCTGTTTTATATTGTTGTTTTGATACTGTTGGCATTAAATTGTTGCCTGTGTTAGCCACCCTGAGTCCCCCCTCGGGGTGAGAAGGGCGCGGTAGAAATGGTCTAAATAAATAAATCAAGGACATCTAATTACCTCTCAACAAAAGATTGCCCCAGGCACTGCCAGGCCATCCAATACTAATCAAGGTTGCCAGTTGAAACATTCCCACCTAGCTCCAGCAGACAAAGAGTCCTTTGTCCCACCCTGGTCATTCCACAGATATATAAACCCTTTTTCCTAGTTCCAACAGACCTCACTACCTCTGAGGATGCTTGCCATAGATGTAGGCGAAACGTCAGGAGAGAATGCCTCTAGAACATGGCCATATAGCCCGAAAAAACCTACAACAACCCAGTGATTCCAGCCATGAAAACCTTCGACAATACATTATTATTATTATTATTATTATTATTATTATTATTATTATTTAAGGCAGTGGTTCTCAACCTTCCTAATGCTGTGACCCCTTAATACAGTTCCTCATGTTGTGGCGAACCCCAGCCATAAAATTATTTTCGTTGTTACTTCATAATGGTAATTTTGCTACTGTTATTAATCATAATGTAAATATCAGATACCCAGGATATTTTCATTTACTGGACCAAATTTGGCACACATACCCGATACGCCCAAATTGGAATACTGGTAGGGTTGGGGGGTTGATTTTGTCATTTGGGAGTTGTAGTTGCTGGGATTTATAGTTCACCCTTTCTGAACTCCACCAATGATGGAGTCTATATATAAAAAAATGCTCTGTGCATAATGAGTGCCTTAAAAACAAAAGAACCAATGAATGAAATCACACCAAATTTGGCAACAAAACGTCTCACAACACAAGGAGTGACCATCACTCAAAAAATTATGATTTTGTCATTTGGGAGTTGTAGTTGCTGGGATTTATAGTTCACCTACAATCAAAGAGCATTCTGAACTCCACCAACGATAGAATTGGGGCAAACTTCCCACACAGAACCCTCATGACCAACAGAAAATACTGTGACTTTGTCATTTGGGAGTTGTAGTTGCTGGGATTTATAGTTCACCTACAATCAAGGAGCATTCTGAACCCCATCAATGACAGAATTGGGGCAAATTTCCCACACAGAACCCTCATGACCAACAGAAAATACTGTGACTTTGACATTTGGGAGTTGTAGTTGCTGGGATTTATAGTTCACCTGCAATCAAAGAGCATTCTGAACTCCACCAATGATAGAATTGAGCCAAACTTCCCACACAGAACCCTCATGACCAACAGAAAATACTGTGACTTTGACATTTGGGAGTTGTAGCTGCTGGGATTTATAGTTCACCTGCAATCAAAGAGCATTCTGAACTCCACCAATGATAGAATTGAGCCAAACTTCCCACACAGAACCCCCATGATCAACAGAAAATATTGTATTTTCTGATGGTCTTCGGCGACCCCTATGACATCCCCTCGTGACCCACACAGAGGTCCCGACCCCCAGGTTGAGAAATGTTGATTTAAGGCAAGGTGACAATCAAGTGGCCCGCAAAGCTCTCGTTGAATGGGAACGCTTGTCCTTCCTCTCCCGCCCAGGCGCAGAGCCCTTGCCTCCCCGACAACGGAGGGGTCGACGTCCATTTCTCCGGCCTGATGGACTGCTTTAAGCAAACGGTGAAGACCAAAGGCTGGCTGGCGCTTTGGAACGGACTCACGGCCAACTTGCTCCGGGTAGGTACCTTGCTGGACTCCCATCGAGAGCCTTGAAGCGGGTGTTACTTTGAGCCGTACTTTGTAGCCGTGTTTGCCTGCACAAATCATTCCTCTTCCGCTTTTGGAAACAAAATATCTCTCTTTACATAAAAAGGAAAGAAGTGTGGCCCCCTTTTAAACAAAGTTTCTTTTTATTGCAATTTTTTTTAAACAACTTTATTGAAAGTTTTGTTTTTATGTTTCAATTCCATCCACAGATTTACTGTACGCATATTGCACAGGCTATGGTTTAATTGCCGTTTGAGCCTTTTCCAAAATTTCTTCTCTAATCTTTGGATAATCTGGGCACATTTTCAAAACATCATGGCATACATCTATTGCCTCCTTGTATCTTTTATCTTTTAGGTAGTTGAAAGCAAGTTTAAATCCAACAGAAGGATTTGCTTGGTTGCTATACTTCCAAGCTAACTCATAATTAGTTGCAGCATCTTTATTTTATTGCAATTTTCAATGTGAGACGGTCTATCAAAACTTTTACACAAAGGAACTGGCTTTAGCACAGCTGGTAATCACCGGGATTGTGGCGCAGCTGGCTGAGTGTCAGCTGCATTAAGATCACTCTGACCAAAAGGTCATGAGTTCGAAGCCAGCCCGGGTTGGAGGGGGTTTCCAACCAATTGTGTAGCCTGTTGTCGACCTTTGCAACCCGAAAGACAGTTGCATCTGTCAAGTAGGAAAATTAGGTACCACCTTAAAGTGTGGGGAGGCTAAATTAACTAATTTATGAGGCCATAAAAAAGACTCCAGCAAAAGCATGCGGGGAATGCGGAAGTACTTCATCAGTGTCGCAGATGGACGATGAAAGCGACAGCTCCCCTGGCGGCCAGAAAAAGTTAAATAGCCTCTGTGTATGTCTGTATGTGTTGTATGTCAAAAATTGGCATTGAATGTTTGCCATATATGTGTACACTGTAATCTGCCCTGAGTCCCCTGCGGGGTGAGGAGAAGGGCGGAATATAAATACTGTAAACAAACAAACAAACAAGATCTACCGATTGAAAGGTTGCCAGTTCGAAGCCACATGACCTTGGAGGTGTCTATGGACAACGCCGGCTCTTCAGATTAGAAATGGAGATGAGCACCAGAGTTGGACACGACTGGACTTAATATCATGGGAAAACCTTTACCTTAATCTTGTTATGTATCAAACAATAATAACAACAATTTTTTTTCGTGTCAGGAGTGACTTGAGAAACTGCAACAACAATAACAATAATAACAATAATAACAATAGCACAAGATGACACATATTTACACAAAAGCATGCAGATATGTGAAAACCTATGCTATTATGATATTTATAATGCTGCAACAATAACAATAATAACAATAACAACAATAGCACAAGGTGACACATGTTTACATGGATGCATGTAGATATATGAAAACCTGTGCTATTATGATATTTATAATGCTGCAACAATAATAACAATAACAACAATAGCACAAGGTGACACATGTTTACATGGAGGCATGTAAATATGTGAAAACCATGCTATTATTATGATATTTATAATGCTTTTACCTAATCAAACTGTACTTGTTTATATCCAAAGTGTTTAACGTTTTTAGCATTTTATCTTGCACACTTCGCCTGCATCTGTGGCAAGCATCCTCAGAAGTTGTGAGGTTTGTGAGGTTCACCCCAGATGTAGGTGAAATGTCAGGAGAGAATGCTTCTGGAACATGGCTATATAGCCCAAAAAACCTACAACAACCTAGTGATTCCGGGCCATGAAAGCCTTCAACAATACATTATTCATATAATGAATTATAATAATAAATAAAATGGATTGTTGTAGGTTTTTCAGGCTATATGGCCATGTTCTAGAAGCATTCTCTCCTGATGTTTCGCCTGCATCTGTGACAGGCATCCTCAGAGGTTGTGAGGTCAAAAATATGTGTTTGTTCATTCAGTTCTTAGACCCACAGGTCTTTCACACATAGACGACAAATAAATAAAAGCCTTCAACAATACATTATTCATATAATGAATTATAATAATAATAAATAAAATGGATTGTTGTAGGTTTTTCAGGCTATATGGCCATGTTCTAGAAGCATTCTCTCCTGATGTTTCGCCTGCATCTGTGACAGGCATCCTCAGAGGTTGTGAGGTCAAAAATATGTGTTTGTTCATTCAGTTCTTAGACCCACAGGTCTTTCACACATAGAGGACAAATAAATAAAACTAGATTATAAAACACAAACACATATTTACCTGGAAGCAAGCCCCATTGTGTTGCACTTCCTTGGGAGTAAGTAGCTTTGGAGAGGATTGCAGGGTAACGCTGCACGTTTACTCACGGTTGCACTCACGCAATATAAAGGGAATGACTTCTGTTGCTAACGTGTTGCTACCATTAACATACTCGACATCCTCCTCTGAGGAGTTGGAGTTTTGCCTTTCACAGCCTTTGTTCCTGCCTTTAAAGAGTCACTAAGCATGTGATTAATGGGTTGTTATAGGTTTTTTCGGGCTATATGGCCATGTTCTAGAAGCATTCTCTCCTGATGTTTCACCTGCATCTATGGTTAAAGGCATCCTCAGAGGTCGTGAAGTCTGTTGGAAACTAGGAAAATTGGGTTTATATATCTGTGGAAAGTCCAGGGTGGGAGAAAGAACTCTTGTCTGTTGGAGCTAGGTGTGAATGTTTCAATTGGCCACCTTTATTTAGCATTGAATAGCCTGACAGTTTTTAGGTGTGGCTTGTTCCTGCCTGGGGGGATCCTTTGTTGAGAGGTGATTAGCTGTCCCTGGTTGTTTCTTGTCTGGAGTTCCCCTGTGTTCGGGTATTGTTTTGCTGTTATAATTTTCGATTTTTTTTTAATCCTGGTAGCCAGATGTTGTTTATTTTCATGGTTTCCTCCTTTCTGTTGAAATTGTCCACCTGCTTCTTGTGAATTTCAATGGCTTCTCTGGGTATTTGACATGATATCTGTATATCAATAGTATTCTGTGTCCAGGTTGGTTCATCAAGTGATCTACTATGGCCACTGAAATCCACAAGCACGTGGACAATTTCAACAGAATGGAAGAAACCATGAAAGTGAAAAAAAAATCTGGCTACCAGTGTTTTTTTAAGAAAAACTAAAATTGTATCAGTGAATTAAAAAAAAAACTCAAACACAGGGGAACTCCAGACAAGCAACAACCAGGGACAGCTAATCACCTCTCAACAAAGGATCCCCCCAGGCAGGAACAAGCTACGCCTAAAAACTGCCAGGCCATCAAATACTAATCAAGGTGGTCATTTGAAACATTCACACCTCCCTCCAACAGAGAAGAGATCTTTCTCCCATTCTGGACATTCCGCAGAGATAGGACATCTAATCACCTCTCAACAAAAGATTGCCCCAGGCACTGCCAGGCCATCCAATGCTAATCAAGGTGGTCAGTTGAAACATTCACACCTCCCTCCAACAGAGAAGAGATCTTTCTCCTATTCTGGACATTCCGCAGAGATATAAACCCACTTTTCCTAGTTTCTAACAGACCTCACTACCTCTGAGGATGCTTGCCATAGATGCAGGCAAAATGTCAGGAGAGAATGCCTCTAGAACAGTGTTCCTCAACCTGGGGGTCGGGACCCCTGAGGGGGTCGCGAGGGGGTGTCAGAGGGGTCGCCAAAGACCATCAGAAAACACAGTATTTTCTGATGGTCATGGGGATTCCATGTGGGAAGTTTGAGCCAATTCTATCGTTGGTGGAGTTCAGAATGTTCTTTGATTGTAATGAACTATAAATCCCAGCAACTACAACTCCCAAATGTCAAGATCTATTTTCCCCAGACTCCACCAGTGTTCACATTTGGGCATATTGAGTATTTGCCAAGTTTGGTCCAGATCCACCATTGCATGAGTCCACAGTGCTCTCTGGATATAGGTGAACTACAACTCCCAAACTCAAGGTCAATGCCCATCAAACCCTTCCAGTGTTTTCCATTGGTCATGGGAGCCAAGTTTGGTTCAAATCCATTGCTGGTGGAGTTCAGAATGCTCTTTGATTATAAGTGAACTATAAATCCCAGCAACTACAACTCCCAAATTACAAAATCAATCCTCCCATCCCAACCCCACCAGTATTCAAATTAGGGCATATTGGGTATTTGTGCCAATTTTGATCCAGTGAATAAGAATACATCCTGCATATCAGATATTTATATTATTTACATAATATTTACATAACAATCCATAAGAGTAGCAAAATTACAATTATGAAGTAGCAATTAAAATAATTTAATGGCTGGGGGTCACCACAACATAAGGAACTGTATTAAAGGGTCGCGGCATTAGGAACGTTGAGAACCACTGCTCTAGAACTTGGCCATAGAGCCCGAAAAAACCCACAAGAACCCAGTGATTCCAACCATGGAAGCTTTCGACAATGCATGTGATTAATGTTCAGGTGCATTTGCTTTCTTCCCCGCAGATTGTCCCTTACTTTGGGGTGATGTTCAGCACTTTTGAGTTCTGCCGGCGCATCTGCCTCTATCGGAACGGGTACATTGACTCCCCGCTGAGCAACCAGCTCACTCCGGGCGTGGATCAGAGCCTGAGGCCCAAGGAGCTGCGGGAATTCAAGCTCCTCGGGAGAAGGAACGTTTGAGGCTCGTCCGGGAAGGCGCACTTTCGCGTTGCCAAAGGGACGTGGTGCCGAACTGAACTGGCAGCTACGGAGAGAGAGAGAGGCTGCAGGGAAGGGACTTAATCGGATGTAACTTAGAGATAAGGCACATCCTGCAGCACTAGGCGACCCGTCGGCCTTTCAAGGGGAACTCCAGACAAGAAACAACCAGGGACAGCTAATCACCTCTCAGCAAAGGATTCTCCCAGGCAGTAACAAGGCACACCAAAAAAAAAACTTCCAGGCCATCAAATGCTAATCAAGGTGGGAGAGAGTGGCTTTCTAAGGACCAACCACCGTCCACGTTTCTAGGGCGACTACACCATTTTCGTTCCTGGGTTGGAAATGTCGCTTCCTCATTGGTTCTAGTATAAACACATGGAAAAGACTATTCAACTCCACAAACAACCAAGTGCTAGTTAACACCTCCCAAACAGAGGGTGCCTCCAGGCAACAACAGCCAGGCTGCCTCTGTGCAAACACCCTTCCTGATTGACTTTGCAAACTTCATGGCTATTCAATGCTATTTAAGCTTGCTCATTTTAATATTCAACACTTGCTTCAAATAGACAAGGGTTCTTTCTCCCACCCTGAGCATTATTCCACAGAGGGTGCCTCCAGGCAACAACAGCCAGGCTGCCTCTGTGCAAACATCCTCCCTGATTGACATTGCAAACTTCATGGCATTTTAATATTTAACACTTGCCTCAAATAGACAAGGGTTCTTTCTCCCACCCTGAGCATTATTCCACAGAGGGTGCCTTCAGGCAACAACAGCCAGGCTACCTCTATGCAAACACCCTTCCTGATTGACTTTGCAAACTTAATGGCTACTCAATGCTATTTAAGCTTGCTCATTTTAATATTTAACACTTGCCTCAAATAGACAAGGGTTCTTTCTCCCACCCTGAGCATTATTTCACAGAGGGTGCCTCCAGGCAACAACAGCCAGGCTATCTCGATGCAAACACCCTCCCTGATTGACTTTGCAAATTTGATGGCTACTCATTGCTATTCAAGCTTGCTCATTGCAACATTCACACTTGCTTCAAACAGGCAAAGGTTCTTTCTCTCGCCCTGGGCATTATTCCACAGAGGGTGCCTCCAGGCAACAACAGCCAGGCTGTCACGATGCAAACACCCTTCCTGATTGACTTTGCAAACTTGATGGCTACTCATTGCTATTCAAGCTTGCTAATGGCAACAGTCACACTTGCTTCAAACAGACAAGGGTTCTTCCTCCCATCCTGGACATTATTCCACAGGCATATATATCTACACTTCACTTTTTACTTCTATGTAGATACCCTCCCTGATTAAGTTTGCAAATTTCATAGCTCTATATGCTTTCACCTCGCAAAACCTGCAGGAATTTGTAATCCAGGCATGGGCAACCTTCAGTCCTCCAGGTGTTTTGGACTTCAGCTCCCATAATTCCTAACAGCCGGTAGTCCAAAACACCTGGAGGACTGAAGGTTGCCCATGCCTGGTGTAGCCCTAAGATGCACACATTTGCCACCTCTGGAAGCCCTTGGTTTGGTCACTAACGGACACCAGACTAACTCAGTGGGATGGGGATTGTGGGAGTTGTAGTTGTCAGGGAAGGGCAAAGATCGGCTGCTTTTGTGGATCCATCTATGGGAGATGGCAGGTTGCATCAAGTCTGATTGGGAAGGCAACATGGGGAGCCCGGCCTCAGTATTTTGCACGATGAATCCTTCCAAAATCAGGTCTTTGCTTTCATGCACTGGAATTCCGAACTGTTTCTGAACGCGACGGACAATCGAGAAGCCAAAGAGAGCCTGTTTGAGCTGCATCCTTGACTTTGGGTCAGCAGAATGGTGTTCTCTGCTGCTAGTTCGTTCCTATACACATTTACTTTTTGAGTAGATATGAAGAGAATGGCACTACTAGACTGCCATCCGGTGCACGTCGACTTGGGCACGAAACCCTACCAAATACTTCTCAGTGGAGATGCATACCAGCACTTTTAATTCTGCAAAGCCCTGCTTGTCTTGCCTCCCTAGGTAGTAAAACCCAGAGATACGATCCTTGCAACTGCATGGTAGGAACCCCATTGTTGTGTCCACCATGCACTTTGAGCAACCTGTGGTTTTGCATCTCTCCCAGCACACACAACACTCATTTTGGGTGGAGTTGGGTCTGGAAAACTGTTGTTACTACACTGTACACCTTTTCGTTGTGCTCTGAAAATAGCCTTGCGAGAATGGGTTTGGATTCATTTTGTCGAAAGGTATCTTTGATATTAAATTGACCGTTTCTAGGAAATCATTGTGTGGTGATGGAAGTGTATAGCGTTTAGTGCCAGAAAACAATCTGTCCTTCTATAGCAGTGTTTCTCAACCTGGGGGTCGCGGGGTGATTCTTGGCTCATGTTTAACTTGTTATCCACGAGGACTCCAAGATCTTTTTCACACGTCCTGCTCTCAAGCCAGGCCTCATCGTCCCCCATTCTATATCTTTGCATTTCGTTTTTCCTGCCAAAGTGGAGTCTCTTGCATTTGTCCCTGTTGAACTTCATTCTGTTAGTTTTGGCCCATCATCTCTCCAATCTGTCAAGATCCCTTTGAATCCTGCTCCTGTCCTCTGGAGTCTTGGCTCTCCCTCCCAATTTGGTGTCATCTGCAAACTTGATGATCTTGCCTTCTAGCCCTTCATCTAAGTCATGAATAAGAAGGAATGATCTTGGGTGCTGCTTAGTGTTCAAGATCAGGCCGCATCTGGTGCTGGGATCTTTTTGAGCATGTGTTGTGCCTGTCGCAGAATTCCCCCGCCCTTCCTCCAACTTCCGGGGGAAGGATTGCCACATGTACATTTGCAGGAAATGAAAGAGATTTGGGTGAAGATAGAGAGCCACAGGCAGATGCAGCCCAATGAATGAAGTTTCCCAAACTTGGGGAGGGGAAAGCAAAGCTGGGAAACAAAAAGAGGGATGTCCCCAAAGTGTGGCAGGAGATGGGGCCAATTTGGGGGAGTACTTTTCGTACTAAGAAGAGCCAATGGAGAGGCTGGGCGGTCCTTGTTGGAGAGGGACATTTAAGGACAGGCAAGGAGAGAGAGGAGCGTGTGCCTTGGGGGAGAAGGGCCTTCCTGTGTGCCATGGGGCCTCATCCAATTGCAGCCCTCCCCTTAATAATAATAATAATAATAATATTTATTTATTTACACTATTTCTATCCCGCCCATATCAGCCCAAAGGCGACTCAGGGCAGCATACCAAGTCATAGAATCATAGAATCAAGATTTGGAAGCGACCTCCTGGGCCATTATCCAGTCCAACCGCATTCTGCCAAGAAGCAGGAATATTGCATTCAAAGCACCCCTGACAGATGGCCATCCAGCCTCTGTTTAAAAGCTTCCAAAGAAGGAGCCTCCACCACACTCCCCGGCAGAGAGTTCCACTGCTGAACGGCTCTCACAGTCAGGAAGTTCTTCCTCGTGTTCAGATGGAATCTCCTCTCTTGTACTTTGAAGCCATTGTTCTATTGCATCCTAGTCTGCAGGGAAGCAGAAAACAAGCTTGCTCCCTCCTCCTCCCTATGACTTCCTCTCACATATTTATACATGGCTATCATGTCTCCTCTCAGCCTTCTCTTCTTCAGGCTAATCATTCCCAGCTCCTTAAGCCACTCCTCATAGGGCTTGTTCTCCAGACCCTTGATCATTTTAGTCGCCCTCCTCTGGACACATTCCAGCTTGTCAATTGATGCCATTTTTTTTTGTCGTGTCAGGAGCGACTTGAGAAACTGCAAGTCACTTCTGGTGTGAGAGATTTGGCCGTCTGCAAGGACGTTGCCCAGGGGACGCCCGGATGATTTGATGTTTTATCATCCTTGTGGGAGGCTTCTCTCATGTCCCCGCATGAGGAGCTGGAGCTGGTAGAGGGAGCTCATCTGCCTCTCCCCGGATTCAAACCTGCGACCTGTCGGTCTTCAGTCCTGCCGGCACAGGGGTTTAACCCACTGCGCCACCGGGGGCTCTGATGCCATATATAAAATACATACATTGATAAAAAGCAAAAAAAAAAAAGAACCATTACAGTACATTTAGAGACATAAAAACAATTAATAATAAAAAATTTAAAAACTATGTCCTCTCGTTCAAATCTTCATCCGTTCCATATATATATAATTAATATTGCAGGATGGCGCAGTGGGTTCAACCCCTGTGCCAGCAGGACTGAAGACCGACAATTCGCAGGTTCAAATCTGGGGAGAGGCAGATGAGCTCCCTCTGTCAGCTCCAGCTCCTCATGCAGGGACATGAGAGAGGCCTCTCACAAGGATGATAAAAACATCAAATCATCCAGGCATCCCCTGGGCAACGTCCTTGCAGACGGCCAATTCTCTCACACCAGAAGCGACTTGCAGTTTCTCAAGTCGCTCCTGACACGACCAAAAAAAAAAAAATTGCAGGATAATAGAATATCTTGTAAGTTCCTTAAATTATAAACATGAGGAAGAACTTCCTGACTGTGAGACCTGTTCAGCAGTGGAACTCTCTGCCCCAGGGTATGGTGGAGGCTCCTTCTTTGGAGGCTTTTACAGATGTATACAATCCACATGGAACTGGATTCTATGGCAGTGTGGACTCAGGTGACCCAATTCAAAGCAGACCACCCAGTTCAAAGCACTCATTGTGGATGATCTGCCTTGTTATTGTGGGTTGCATGGCCATGTGGAAGGGCCCTTAAGAGTCATACAATCATAGAATTGGAAGAGACCTCATGGGCCATCCAGCCCAACCCCTTTCTGCCAAGAAGCAGGAAAAGCACCCCCAAGAGATGGCCATCCAGCCTCTGTTTCAAAGCCTCCAAAGAAGGAGCCTCCACCACACTCCAGGGCAGAGAGTTCCACTGCTGAACAGCTCTCACACGAGGAAGTTCTTCCTCATGTTAAGGTGGAATCTCCTTTCTTGTAGTTTGAAGCCATTGCTCCATTGCGTCCTAGTCTCTCTCCAGGGCAGCAGAAAGGAAGCTTGCTCCCTCCTCCTGATGACTTCCTCTCACATATTTATACATCATGTCTCCTCTCAGCCTTCTCTTCTTCAGGCTAAACTTGCCCAGCTCTTTAAGCCACTCCTCACGGGGCTTCTGTGTGGTAAGGGCTAAACATCTCCATTTCCCCCAAGGCTCCAAGGTCACCCAGTTCAAATCAGAGATTGTGAGGTTTTTTGCCTTGATATTCCGGGTTATATGGCTGTGTGGAAGGGCACGGAGTCTACACTGCCATGTATTCCAGCTTGGAAGACACCTGTGCATGAGTTATTTTTAATGTGTGGACGTTGGTACCCCACTTTTTCTTTGGGCACATGACCCTTTTATATGCCTCTGAAACATGGACTGTCTACAGACATCACAATCTACTCCTGAAACGATCCCATCAGCATTGCCTCCCTCCTCTCTAGGACTTCCTCTCACATATTGATACATGGCCTTCATCCTGTCTCCTCTCAGCCTTCTCTTCTGCAGGCTAAACATCCTCAGCTCTTTGAGCCGCTCCTCATAGGGCTTCTGTGTGGTCACCCAGTTCTTTTTCTTTTTCGGGCTAAGCATGTGCAGCTCTTTGAGCCGCTCCTCATAGGGCTTCTGTGTGGTCACCCAGTGCTTTTTCTTTTTCGGGCTAAGCATGTGCAGCTCTTTGAGCCGCTCCTCATAGGGCTTCTGTGTGGTCACCCAGTTCTTTTTCTTTTTGGGGCTAAACATGTGCAGCTCTTTGAGCCGCTCCTCATAGGGCTTCTGTGTGGAATCTCCCTTTCCCCTCCTTGGCCAGGGAGGGAGACCTTCCCAGGGAGGATGCTGCGTGTCCTTGGGATGCCAAAAACACTTAACCAATTACAGATCCACAAAACTATGGTGAGGTGGATCTGTAATTGGTTAAGTGGACGAACACAGAGAGTGCTCACTAATGCTTCCTCTTCATCTTGGAAAGAAGTGACAAGTGGAGTGCCACAAGCAGGGTTCCGTCCTGGGCCCGGTCCTGTTCAACATCTTTATTAATGACTTAGATGAAGGGCTAGAAGGCAGGATCATCAAGTTTGCAGACGACACCAAATTGGGAGGGATAGCCAATACTCCAGAGGACAGGAGCAGGATTCAAAATGATCTTGACAGATTAGAGAGATGGGCCAAAATAACAAAATGAAGTTCAACAGTGACAAATGCAAGATACTCCACTTTGGCAGGAAAAACGAAATGCAAAGATACAGAATGGGGGATGCCTGGCTCGAGAGCAGTACGTGTGAAAAAGATCTTGGAGTCCTCGTGGACAACAAGTTAAACATGAGCCAGGAATGTGATGTGGCGGCAAAAAAAGCCAATGGGATTTTGGCCTGCATCAATAGGAGCATAGTGTCTAGATCTAAGGAAGTAATGCTCCCCATGCTCTATTCCGCCTTGGTTAGACCACACTGGAATATTGTGTCCAATTCTGGGCACCACAATTCAAGAGAGATATTGACAAGCTGGAATGTGTCCAGAGGAGGGCGACTAAAATGATCAAGGGTCTGGAGAACAAGCCCTATGAGGAGCGGCTTAAGATGGGCATGTTTAGCCTGAAGAAGAGAAGGCTGAGAGGAGACATGATAGCCATGTTAAATATGTGAGAGGAAGCCATAGGGAGGAGGGAGCAAGCTTGTTTTCTGCTTCCCTGGAGACAAGGACAATGGCTTCAAACTACAAGAGAGGAGATTCCATCTGAACATGAGGAAGAACTTCCTGACTGTGAGAGCCGTTCAGCAGTGGAACTCTCTGCCCCGGAGTGTGGTGGAGGCTCCTTCTTTGGAAGCTTTTAAACAGAGGCTGGATGGCCATCTGTCAGGGGTGATTTGAATGCAATATTCCTGCTTCTTGGCAGAATGGGGTTGGGCTGGATGGCCCATGAGGTCTCTTCCAACTCTTTGATTCTAGGATTCTATGCTTCTAGGGCTTGTATGCCAGTCTCCCGTGGGGAGGGGGATGCTGCGGGGCTGCTTCGGCGCTTCCTTTGCAGTCCTCCCTTGGGTCGGGTCCCCCCCCCCCCTCCTTCCTTCCTTCCTTCCGCCGGGGAGCCAATCCGGGCCGAGGGAAGCGGCTGTGCGTCAAAGGCTGGGCAGGTATAAAAACCGGCCATTTCAGCGCCTCGGTCTCAGTGAGCCGGCAGCAGCCTCTTCCTTCCCTCTTCCTCTTCGCTGCCCGCTTCCTTGCCGTCGAGGGGTGTCTCTTCCTGTTCCTCTTCCTGCTCCTGCTTCCTCTGCTTCCTCGCTCACCATGACTGACCAAGCCATCTCCTTCCTCAAGGACTTCTTAGCCGGCGGCGTGGCGGCTGCCATCTCCAAGACGGCCGTGGCGCCCATCGAGAGGGTCAAGCTCCTGCTCCAGGTCAGCCTTCGCCCTCCCCCCCCTCCCCCCAAGGAAAGGCGCCCCTTCCCCACCCCGAGGCTTGGAGGCACCCAGGGGGTCCCCATCCCAAGAGAGAGGGTCTTCTTTGCGGGTGTTGGGTTGGCTTGGGCGCATTCCGCGCGTAAAAGGCGCATTCCTTTTGTTTGCGGCGTGGGACGGCCAAGAAGGCCTGGCTTTCCCCTCGTAAAGGTCGCCCCAAGGTCGCCCCAAGGAGATGCTCCTCTTGGCTCAGAAGCAAGGCCCCAAAGCCCAAGGAGATGCTCCTCTTGGCTCAGAAGCAAGGCCTCAAAGCCCAAGGAGATGCTCCCCTTGTCTCAGAAGCAAGGCCTCAAAGCCCAAGGAGATGCTCCCCTTGTCTCAGAAGTAAGGCCTCAAAGCCCAAGGAGATGCTCCCCTTGTCTCAGAAGTAAGGCCTCAAAGCCCAAGGAGATGCTCCCCTTGTCTCAGAAGTAAGGCCTCAAAGCCCAAGGAGATGCTCCCCTTGTCTCAGAAGTAAGGCCTCAAAGCCCAAGGAGATGCTCCCCTTGTCTCAGAAGTAAGGCCTCAAAGCCCAAGGAGATGCTCCCCTTGTCTCAGAAGTAAGGCCTCAAAGCCCAAGGAGATGCTCCCCTTGTCTCAGAAGCAAGGCCTCAAAGCCCAAGGAGATGCTCCCCTTGTCTCAGAAGTAAGGCCTCAAAGCCCAAGGAGATGCTCCCCTTGTCTCAGAAGTAAGGCCTCAAAGCCCAAGGAGATGCTCCCCTTGGCTCAGAAGTAAGGCCTCAAAGCCCAAGGAGATGCTCCCCTTGTCTCAGAAGTAAGGCCCCAAAGCCCAAGGAGATGCTCCCCTTGTCTCAGAAGCAAGGCCTCAAAGCCCAAGGAGATGCTCCCCTTGTCTCAGAAGCAAGGCCCCAAAGCCCAAGGAGATGCTCCCCTTGTCTCAGAAGTAAGGTCTCAAAGCCCAAGGAGATGCTCCCCTTGTCTCAGAAGACGCCCTTCTTTTGCTTCTCCTTCTGGTGCTTCTTTGGAAACCCCAGACTTGGTGGCTTCCATCCATGTCTCGGATGAGTTTGGAGGAAGGAGAAGGTCTGGATGCCACTGCCGTGGGCCTGGTGCCACTTGGCAGCACGCTTCCCCCTCCTCTCCAAAGAAATTTGGAATTTTTGGGGGGCCTCAGCTTGGATTTATTGGGGCTCCAAGGGGTTCTTTTGCTTTTATGTCTGGTGGGCATTTTGTCCCATCTGTAAGTTGTCCCAAGTCCCTTTGGAAAGATAGTGTCAGGGTAGAAGAATCAAGTTGTTGTTCCCGAATCCCACATTTTGGCCCTTTTTGGAGACTCCACATCCAATGACCTTGGGTGGGGGGAGGAAGAATGGCGGCCAAAGCCGTGCCCTTGGCAAGGCCGTGGCTTGCGGATCAGGCTGGGCCGGAGAAAGAGAAAGAGGACGGGACAGGCCGCTCTCCAGGAAAGAGCTCTCAAGTTGGCAGGATTTCTAAAAAAAATGGAGTTTGGGATGATTGCTTTTTGGATTAGAACTCCCAAAATCCCTCAGGCTGAGGCTGGCTCTGAAGCAATGGTTACGATTCATCATTTGAGTCACTTTGAGTCTCCCTTTTGGAAAGAAAAGCGAGATATAAATGATGATTATTATTATTATTATTATTATTTATATCCCGCTTTTCTCTCCACACAGAGACTCATAGCAGCTCAAATTATTAGTAGTCATAAGCATAATAATTTTACATACTATTATTATTATAAAATGGATTATTATTTTATATTATTATTATTATAATAAGTTATTATTCCTAACTTCCTCATTGATATCCTGCCTTGCTCACCATCAGGAGACTCATAGCGGCAGATATTATTAATAGTCATAATCATAATAATTTTACATACTATTATTATAAATTGAATTATTATTTTATATTATTATTATAAGATTATTATTCCTAACTTCCTCATTGATATCCTGCCTTGCTCGCCATCAGGAGACTCATAGCAGCAGATATTATTAATAGTCATAATCATAATAATTTTACATACTATTATTATAAATTGAATTATTATTTTATATACTATTATTATTATTATTATTATTATTATTATTATAAGTTATTATTATTCCTAACTTCCTCATTGATATCCTGCCTTGCTCACCATCAGGAGACTCATAGCGGCAGAAATTATTAATAGTCAGCATAATAATAATTTTACATACTATTATTATAAATTGAATTATTATTTTATATTATTATTATTATTATAAGTTATTATATTCCTAACTTCCTCATTGATATCCTGCCTTGCTCACCATCAGGAGACGCATAGCGGCAGATATTATTAATAGTCATCATCATAATAATTTTACATACTATTATTATAAATTGAATTATTATTTTATATTATTATTATTATTATAAGTTATTATATTCCTAACTTCCTCATTGATATCCTGCCTTGCTCACCATCAGGAGACGCATAGCGGCAGATATTATTAATAGTCATCATCATAATAATTTTACATACTATTATTATTATAAATTGAATTATTATTTTATATATTATTATTATTATAAGTTATTATATTCCTAACTTCCTCATTGATATCCTGCCTTGCTCACCATCAGGAGACGCATAGCGGCAGATATTATTAATAGTCATCATCATAATAATTTTACATACTATTATTATTATAAATTGAATTATTATTTTATATTATTATTATTATTATTATAAGTTATTATATTCCTAACTTCCTCATTGATATTCTGCCTTGCTCAAGGCAGCTCACAATCTCACAATTATTAATCATTATTATTATAAATAATTTTTATTTTATATACTATTATTATAAATTGAATTATTATTTTATATACTATTATTATTATAATAAGTTATTATTCCTAACTTCCTCATTGATATCCTGCCTTGCCCAAGGCAGTTCACAATCTCACAATGACAATTATTGATCATTATTATTATTATAATAAATATTTTTTATTTTATATACTATTACTATAAATTAAGGTATTATTATTATTCCTAACTTCCTTATTCATTTCCCGCCTTGCTCTCCATCAGGAATTGAGGTAGCTAGCGACCTCACTGTGACAATTGTTAATAATTATTATAAACAATTATATTTTATATACTATTATTATTATTATAATAAATGAAATTAGTATTCCTAACTTTATTTATATCTGGCCTTGCTTGCCATTGGGACTCAAGGCAGCTAACAACCTCACAATGACAATTATTAGCATGTATTATTATAAATAATTATTATTTTATATACTATTACTATAATAATAAAGTTATTGTATTGTCGAAGGCTTTCATGGCTGGAATCGCTCAGTTCTTGTGGGTTTTTTCGGGCTATATGGCCCGAAAAAACCTATATAAAGTTATTATATATACTAATTGAGTTGATATTATTCCTAACTGCCTTATTGATATCTTGCATTGCTCCCCATAATAGTATTTTATATAATACTATTATAATAATAATAAAGTTATTATTATTCCTAACTTTATTTATATCCGGCCTTGTTCCCCATCGGGACTCAAGGCAGCTAACAACCTCACAATAACAATTATTGATATTTTTATTATAAATAATAATTATTTTATATACTATTACTATAATAAATAAATAAAGTTATAATATATAGTACTATTATTATTATAAATTAATTTATTATTATTACTAATTTAATTTATATCCGGCCTTGCTCCCCATTGGGACTCAAGGCAGCTAACGACCTCACCATAACAATTATTAATAGTTATTATTATTATTATTATACATTAATACTATTATTATTGTTATTATTGTTGTTCTAAATTAAGTTATTATTATTCCTAATTTCCTTTATATCCGGCCTTGCTCCCCATTGGGACTCAAGGCAGCTAACGACCTCACCATAACAATTATTAATAGTTATTATTATTATACATTATTATTTTCTATACTATTATTATTATTATTGTTCTAAATTAAGTGATTATTATTCCTAACTTCATTTATACCCGGCCTTGCTCCCCATTGGGTTTCAAGGCAGCTAACGACCTCACCATAAAAATTATTAATAGTTATTATTATTATACATTATTATTTTCTATACTGTTATTATTATTATTGTTCTAAATTAAATGATTATTATTCCTAATTTCCTTTATATCTGGCCTTGCTCCCCATTGGGACTCAAGGCGGCTAACGACCTCACCATGACAATTCAAAACAAAACAAATACAAACAAAATTGAATATTAGTGGATAAATATCTGTCTTTCTTGGGAGGGAGTTCCAAAGTTTGGGAATTTTGGGGAAAGACCCTCAACCTTGTTTGGAGAGGTTCACAGGGAGAGAAACGGCCCTTCGAATAAGCCATTATACTATAGGTCACAATCGGTCTTTTGAATGGGCTTCCTAGCCCTGTGTTCTCATTGCTAAGAAGGTCTCAAGATCCAAGCTGACTTGAATATAGGGAATCACGCAGCCCTTTGTTGAACTGCAAAGCCCAGCCACCTTCAATAGCATTGCTAGACTGAATAGAATACTGAATCTGGAAGGCCGCATGGCTTCCGTCCCATTGTCTAGCAAGGAGGGAAGGGTAGACAATAGATCCGGATGCAAACCAGTCTTTTGGGGAGGATCACAGCATTGGCTATACCAGGCATGGGCAAATTTTGGCCCTACAAGTGGAAGGAAGGGGACTGAGGCTGTTAGGAATTGTGGGAGTTGGAGTCCAAAACACCAGGAGGTCCCAAGTTAGGAATGGTGGGTGTTGGAGTTCAAAATACAAGTTAGGAACGGTGGGTGTTGGAGTTCAAAACACCTGGAAGCCCCAAGTAAGGATTTGTGGGAATTGGAGTCCAAAACACATGCACGGCCCAAGTTAGGAATGGTGGGAGTTGGTCCAAAACACCCGGAGGGCCCAAGTTAGGAATAGTGGGAGTTGGAGTC